GCTGACCTCCACCTGATGGTGCTGACCTCCACCTGACGGTGCTGACCTCCACCTGACGGTGCTGCTGTGTGCAGGTGGTGAACAGAGGCGACCCGTATCCTCAGGAGGTGGGAGCCACCGTCCAGAGAGTGATGGAGACGCTGGGACACTGTAACCCCTACAGACTGGTGTGGCAGTCCAGGGTGAGACACACACACACACACAGAGGACGGTCGGGGGGAGACTGTGAACACGTGGGAATAGTTTCCTTAGAAAACAAACCATGTCTTCACTTCGTCCTTCTGGCGTCTTTGTGACGGAGACTTTCGCCTGATCAGTCGTCCTCTGGGGACAAAGGTCATTTGGTCTGCATTGGAAGGCGTCCCCGTCATGTCTCCACGACAACGGGAGTGAGCGGCGCTCGTGTGAGGCGTGTGCTCGTGTGAGGCGTGTGAGGCGTGTGCTCGTGTGAGGCGTGTGCTCGTGTGAGGCGTGTGCTCATGTGAGGCGTGTGAGGCGTGTGCTCACGTGAGGCGTGTGCTCACGTGAGGCGTGTGCTCGTGTGAGGCGTGTGAGGCGTGTGCTCGTGTGAGGCGTGTGCTCACGTGAGGCGTGTGCTGATCCAGGTGGGGCCCATGCAGTGGCTCGGCCCCCAGACGGACGACGTGATCAAAGGGCTGTGCGAGCGCGGCAAGAAGAACATCCTGCTGGTGCCCATCGCCTTCACCTCGGACCACATCGAGACGCTGCACGAGCTGGACATCGAGTACGGACAGGTGCTGGGGGAGGAGGTGAGGAGGAAGACCCCCCCCAGGATGGATGAGCCGCTGTCCAGAAGACGAACTAATCAAGTGTCCTTTCTGTCGTCAGTGTGGAGTGGAGAACATCAGGAGAGCGGAGTCATTGAATGGGAACCCTCTCTTCATGAAGGTACCACACACACACACCTACACACACACACACACACACCAGGTCTATAAAGGACCAAACCATATAAGTGCTAATAAAGGAGCATGAACAGAGTTCATTGCAAAATGTTCCAATAGGTTTATTGATAAAGGGACGACGACGGGCGACTGAAGTCAGGGAGAAAAGGAGACCGCGGCAGAAAGTGGATTCCTACTTCCTTTCCCTTTTAGTTTCTCGGTGAGCTGAATCCGTCCAGCTGCTGTCCAGCGGTTTATTTCCTGATAAATCTCCGCTCAGATTGCGATCTTGTACGATCGCCTATTAGTACATTCTTACTCATTGACTTCGCTCTGACTATTCGTTTGACTCCCGGCACCTGCAGAAAGTTACAATAAAGTCCTGCTAGGAAAGCGAGAGACTAAAGGTGCTGGTTCTATTCGGTAGAGCAGCCTCCTTTCTGCATCTTTAGCTCCTGTTTCCTCCCGTAGATCTTTGGATCAATGTGACACCATGCGAGGTGACTGCCTCAGGTCGTTGAGCAAACACCGTAAACACCACTTTATGGTTCCGGTCTCTAGTTCCAAGTCGTCTTCAATACAGCATGAAGTTCATTTGGTAAACTGTGGTCCACTTAAATAGAATGGCCCTCAAACGCGGGGCCACCAAGTGATGGACGGGCTGCTGTCACTACCGGAGGCTTCAAACGCACGCGTTTCCACGACAACCACCGCTTATTGAGGGACATGGCAGCCCGTCAAAGGGTCCCTGTCTCAATGCTCCCTGTGCACCATCTGTCCAGGCTCTGGCGGACCTGGTCCAGTCCCACCTCAAGTCCAACCAGCCCTGCTCCCGCCAGCTGACCCTCCGCTGCCCGCTGTGCACCAACCCCACCTGTGCAGAGACAAAGGCCTTCTTCTCCAGCCAGACGCTCTCATAGGAACCAGCGTGCTCACACACACACACACACACACACACACTCTTCAGGGTAGGACGTGTGTCACTCAAATGCTAATTTTCTTTGCTGAATCAATTTGAATGCTTAGAGGGGTCGACATTACAGGCTTAACTTATTTCTTTTAACTGATTTCAGATGAATTCATTTCATGTTGCATTTGCAAATGTTATCAATAAAACACATTAATGCTGATCAATTTTCAAATGAACCCAGTGGCACCAGCTTCTGCCCCAAGCAATGCTCCCCGATCAGCTGCTGTTTGGCTCATCAGATGCCCCCCGATGACAAGAGACCCCTCGTAGAAAGTCTCTGCACTAATTCATTGTTTTTAGGTTTCACGTTGTTTCTGTTCCTCTACAGAAGAAGATCAAGACTGATCCTTAGATCTTTCTTACAGTTAGCGGTTAGCGGTAACCTGGCATTCCTTAACGAAAAATACCCGCATTAAATATGAGCAGTGTCCATTTAGATGCACATATTCTACCTTTGTAGGTGTGAACAGCGAGATGTAGAGAAGCAGCACACACGGCGTCACGCGTGTCGAAACCCTCGGTCGCTTCCCATCGACTGATCACTCTGCACTAAATACCAGAAAACAATCGGTTGATAAGCTGAATTAAATATTTTTGGCTGTTTCCACTGATCCCATTTGGGATGAGACGCTAACTTGACCTGCGGCCTTCGGCCCCCAGATGTTTTCTTCCTCTACGCAGCCATCATGTGCTTTTTGAGGCTCACGCGTGTGCTGGCTGCACGAATCCACCAAGACATCAGAACCTAAATTCCTGCTGCAACTTTTCTGCTTCTGGAAACCAGAATAAAAAATGGTTTTAAATTCCAAACTGCCGATTCTGAAGTGTAGCAACCGGCAGGTGAACTAGAGAGAAGGTCTTGCTTATAATAAAATGTCCAATAGGAAGGACTGCGGCAGTGACGTATTTCTGTTGCCTGGAATGAACGCGGCCCCGTGGCGTTTAGTGGGATTACTCCGCGGGCTGTTGGATTATGAGCGCTGGGGCAAACGAGCCGGACGTTCTGGACCAATGAGCTCCACTTGTCTCCAGCGCGGCTGCCCGGGTACAAACACAATGTCCAGTAAAATGTCTCCGACAACCTCTGGAGCCTCATTGAGCCTTTTGTAAGACTAGAAGTCCTGAAACCACTGCAGGTGCACAGCTTCAGTAAAATAAGAGTTGAAGTGTGTGCATGTGGTGTCGCTCGGGAGCGAAGAACAAACCAGACTTTTAATGAACCAACACTCCCAAAGTCCCAATCTATCGCACTTCTTCTCAATGTGGCAGAAATACAGCTGCTGGCTGGCCAGATGTTTGATGGCCAGCTGGTGTTTGGGCTTCAGATGCGCCTCTGCAGTCGGGACATTGGTGCTTCAGAACTCGACGCATTGGCCCTCAATGCAAGCGGCCGTGCTTTGTGCGTTCAGGGCTCTTCCACGGGGTTGAAAGGGCTGCTTCTGTGCGCTTTACCCAGAGTTCAGTGCTTCGTGTCTCTGCAATAATAACGGGATGTCCGGGTGAGGAAAAGAACACATGCTAATGTCTGACGGGTGAGATTTCCCTCCACCTCTGCTGTGTGTTCTGTTTGTAGCTGCGGCGTTTGCGTTGTACACGCAATAAAGACGCTACAGATTTGTTGTTTGATAGTTTGCATAGTTTTTTGTTTTTTGGAGTTATTTATTTTTGGTCATTTTGCTTTTGTTCTGGACCACAAATCCTCTCGTACCTGCTGTGATAACATGTTTTTATATGTATATGTGAGACACATAAGCAATGCAATCAAACATAACAAATCTTCCTTCAAAATACAATAAAGACATTATTAGTGTTTGTGTGTTTTTTTTATGTTGAGCTACACACAAAGAAATGCACTACGTCTACTTAGGATGAAAGATGACTGTGAGGTATAAACGTACCACTCAAGGTAAAGATTGCAAGACAGGTCTTAATCCCAACCCAAACCGATTGAGAGCGAACTTTGACCCTGCAGCAGCCGCTAAACACGCTAACCCTGAGGTGGACCCCGTCCCTGTGGTTAGGACTTCCTGCGTGTCCCAGAAGAACAGCGTTTGGTTGCAGACGACGTGTTTCTGTGGGAACGTTGACCGGTTTCCTGAAGGACCCAGATCGCAGACGTAAGCGCCAAAATAAAGGTGCCCGTGAGGGGGGGGGGGGGGGCTGCCATTACAAGCAGCCAGCTGAGGGGTCTTCTTGTTAGACCCACATACACACTCACCTTGAGGATGATTAGGATCACCTGTTCAATTTCTCATTAATGCAATTATCTAATCAGCCAATCACATGGCAGTTAGGGGCGTGGTCCTGGTGAAGACCATCTCCTGAACAACCGAGGTGTGCAGCAAAGCATTTGTGAAGCCTCAACACGCACAACCGTGAGGCGGATGGTCTACAAGACCCCACCGGTACCACTCATCCCCACTACAAATAGGAACAACAGGCTACAATTAGCAAGAGCTCACCAAAATTGGACAGTTGAAGACTGGAAAAATGTTGCCTGGTCTGCTGAGTCTCGATTTGTGTTGAGACCTTCAGATGGTGGAGTCAGAATGAGAACATGGATCCATCGTGCCTTGTTGCCACGGTGCAGGCTGCTGCTGGTGTAATGGTGGGGGAGGTTTTCTTGGCACACTTTAGGCCCCTTAGGGCCAATTGGGCATGTTTTAAACGCCACGCTACCTGAGCGTTGTTGACCATGTCCATCCCTTTATGGCCCCATGTACCATCTGCAGGATGATGCACCGCATTAGGATGGTGTTCCTTCAGGTGAGTGTATATTCTATAGGTAATGTATCTTGTTTGGCCTTGGGGAGCACGCATGTGGGGGAGGGCTATCTGGAAACCCTGCTAAACCCCGAGTGGAAGTGGATCGTCTTGTGGGTAAAGAAACAAGGATGGAACATGTCGTTCATGAGGTACAGAAGTTCTGGTCTAAAAAGCTCCCGTGTCTGTTTTAAACATGGACACAAACTCACGTGACGTGTTTGTGTCTACAAGCGTTGGTCTGGACCTTCATGGTGACCAGAGCAGCCTCCTCCTATGGTGACCGATCCACCTGGAGGGTGGAGTCCATGGGAGTGCCTCTCGTCTCTCCTCTCGTCTCTCCTCTTGCCTCTCCTCTGTCT